CCTTTGCCTGCAAGCCCCTGTCTCTGCTCATTCCCCACCCCCAAGTCAGCCTGGCCAACACTCGCTTATCTTTTAGGGATCAACCTGGGGGCCTTCCTCCTACTCTTGCTCAGTGTCCTGTCACCTCCATCTCCCAGATAATTGCTTTCCTCCTTAGCCCTCAGTCACACACCAAACATCTTCCCTTTCTAGCACCAATGACATTTTGTATTCCCATATGTCTCCCTCCTTTAAAAGTCTATTTTTGAACTATTTATTATTCATCTTTTTATCTGCAGTGTTTTGCATAATGCATGGGCCATAATAGGTATTTAATACATATTTGTTGAATGAATGAAAGTTTATTTCAATTAATGTGGTCGATCTGGAAATCTTGTTTAACAAAGAGCCATCATTTCATTGGTCTAGGGAAACTCACTGTTAAAAGGAAACCTGCTGTGAGTTGTTCTGTAATGCATATGATAAACTTTGATTTATTTCCTTTGTGAGGGTTTGTATTTTCTTTAAGCACCCATATTTCCGATTCACAGTAGGAGAATTTCAGGTGGATTCTTTTCCATTTATCCTAGACTAGACCTTTTTGTCATGATCTCGCCCCCTTTCTCTCCTCTGCATGCTTTTCTTAGGCTGGTGCTCCCACCCATAGTGTATTGGGTAAAGAGAAGGCTACCTCCATTTCTAATATCCCCATCATGGATATTAGAATTTCCAAATTCGCCTCTAGGTCTGGCATATGTGACCATTCCCTTAGGATCTGTTTCCAAGTTTCTCAGTATTCATCACCGGGAATGTCTTCAGGCTGTCTCACTGAAGCCTCCCTCTCAACTGTTTATTTAGGGCAGCTTCCTCAGATCTCCTCGTATAGGGACTTTGGTCAGAAAACAGAGACGGTGCAGTCTGTGATTGCCTCCCTTCTGGTTCTTTTTCCAGTTAAGTGTTGATGACTTCCAGCTGGAGTGGGTCAGTGATGCTGGGAAGATATGGCCAGTATCTGTATCTAAGTCTCTGGTGCATCTGGCCCCATGTGGTTGGTAAGCAACATTGTTCACAGAAAACATCCATCTCCTACAGAAGGCTTTGGGGACAGAAAGACATCATGGCCAACCAATACATTTTTACTTATGAAGACTACCAGATCTCAGTTCAACCATGGATATGTGTGTGCGCGCGTGTGTGTGTGTGTGTGTGTGTGTGCGCGCGTGTGTGTGTTTGAGAGAGAGAGAGAGAGAGAGAGGGATGTTCACTCTCAGGGTGTCACTGGGAAATTGATTCTTTTCCAAAACAACAGTGACTGTGGTTCAGGCTGGGTCATCTCACGGTGAAGGTTTTAAGGACTTCTCCTTTAGCCATATGATGTGCTGAGGGCAGTCTCACTCGGATAAGCTGAGTAATTCTTTTGCTTTCAGCAGATAAATATAGATGCAGCTCCATTGCTTGGCTCTCTAAACTAGGTTGAATAAATGATTCATATCAAGGAAACATTTTCTAGGACCACTGTATCTTCTGGATTTATGTTAGTTAAGTCTAGCCTGCATTTAAGCTAGAAAAATGATTTCTAGCCCCTCTGCCTAAGTTGCATAAAGTGCTATAGACCCACACTCAGACTGTACATTCAGTGGTAACCGCTGGGTAGGCATCTCAACTAAACTTGTGTTTCGAAGAGCTGGACTAATTATAAAAAATAATTATGAAACGTACGAGTGAGCTATATAGTACTGCGAGTCTTGTAAAATGGTGGGTAGCCCTTACCCTAGAAAACTGTCTCTTGTCATATATGCTTATTTTAAAACCTATAGGAACCCAGGGGTTTATTTCAAACTGAAAGGTGGCATTTCATCTTTCTGGGTCAGCAGAGTTGTTAATATTTCAAAGAAGGACTCTCATGCTCCTATGCCAGCAGCGCGCCTGTATTGGCTTTTATTACACACATCCGTAGTGGTGTGGTGGCTGGCTGGGCGCTTGTAGATCAATAAGCTGCTAAAAATGGAGCCACATCAGGGGCCATAATGGCTTCTTCACAGATGAAAGATTGTCTCCAGGTAGTGAAGTGCATTTAGGAATAACAACAGTGATACCCCTGCACTGAGATCCTTGTTATTTAGAAGAAAGAAATGGACTCTCTCAAGGTGATGAGTCCTCTGATAAAGACTTAACATTCTTGAAATGTACTCCAGAAGGTTTTGTGTCCACTGTTATAGCTGAGCTCAGAACAAATTCAGGGTGTTTTAATAATGGAATTCCCAGATGAAGGAATACAGAATTAATTCTCTTGGCCTCACACACTGCTTGATTGTAGTTCTACAATCTACAACTTGGTTGTCCTATTAATTAAACAAAATCTTCTTGTAATGTGAACACTGATTTTTGAGATACTTGGGTGGTCTTAGATACAGCATCAGTGAGGAGATGGGAAAAGTGGTGACCTAAAACACAAAGTGATATGTGTAGGGTTTGAGGATGGTTGAGGATGGTGGAAACTTAAGACAGCACAAAGCTTCTTGGCTAAGTTTCCTGATTTGAAGGTTGTGGACACCTGGAGTCAAGGTTATATCTGAGCTGAGTGTACTTAGGTACAGGTGAGTTCCTAGGGAGATATGGCATCAGAGAAGATGGTGACTTTTTCTAGTGAAGTAATAATTTCTACTCTGTGCTTTTCCTTCATAATTCATCAGTAAATTACACAGATTATATATTCATTTTTCAGCACATATTTGGTGAATACATGTCAGGATTTGTACTTGGAGCTTAGGGTATAATAGTGCACCCAAAAGGCAAACCTCCTGCCTGCATGGAGTTTATATTCCAGTGAGACAACACAAAGGTAAAGAAATAAAATGTGTAATGTATTAGATAGTGATTAGTGCTAAGGAGAAAAACAAAGCATGGGAAGGGATAGGACACTTGAGGAGGCAGAGTTGAAATGACAGAGTGGCCAGGGAGGCCCTCTCTGAGAAGGTGACTTTGAGCGAAGACCTGATGGACATGAGGGAACAATCTATGGGGATATCTGGGGGAAGAGGATTTCAGAGTGGGTAGCAAGGGCAGTGGTCCTGGTGTGGGAGAATGGCTAGTATTTTGAAGAAATAACAAGAGTGGAAGAATGGCTGGGGATGAAGGAGGACATGAGGGGGCTTGTAGTAGGATATGTTGTCAGAGAAGTAAAGAGCCACCTCCCATAGGGTTTGAAGGTCATAGGAAGGAATGATGGTAGTGTTTTGAGAAGAGAAGTGATATGACTAGACTAGACTTATGGTTTAAAAGGATCACTTGGGTTCCTAAGAAGGCAGGAAGACTAGCCAACATATGTGGTGGCAGGAACTGAAGTGATTGAAGAAGAGACTGGGTTCTGGATATATTTTGAATGAAAAAATGATCAGGATTGGCTGATGGATCAGATACAGAGTGGGTGAGAAAAAGGGAAGTCAAAGATGGCACCAAGGTTTTTAGCCTGAGGAGCTGGTAGAGTGGAGTTACCATTAAATATGATGGCTTGGACTTTGGATTTTACAACAAGGATGTCATTGATTCCAGTGATGCATTCAAGAGTGAATGAGATGAAGGGAGGAATTGGAGACAGTGAGTATAGACAACTTTTAAAAGGATTTCCCATGTAAAAGTAGACGGTAGCTGGACTGAGAAATTTAGATTAAGAGAGGCTTAATGCTTTTTTTCTTTAAATTAATGAAATAATAGCATAATTGTAGGCTGATGAGAATGATTCAGTAGACAGGGACAAGATTGATGTGCAGGGAAAAAAGAAAGAAGGAATAATTGCTGGAGCAATTGCCAGAGAGGGTTGAGGCGGAAAGGAAGAGAGAGAAAAGAGTGAAAGGAGAGGGATGTAGCCCGGGAAGAAACACATGCTTTAAGTGAATGAGGAAGTGAAAATCTGAGACTGTTTTCCTTGATGTAAGTTATCTATCATCTTGCTCACACTACAAGCTTATGGGATAATTTTTAAAAACCCCACAATAATCATTTATTATCTCTCACAGGGAGCAACTAGGTAGGGGTGGTTCTATCTTAAATTCTCTCATGAGAATTTACATGAGGTTATAGTCAGACACCAGGCAGGACGGAAGTTATCTGAAGGCTTGACTGGGGCTGGAGGATCCACTTTCAAGGTGCCTTCCTCCCACGGCTGACAACTTGATGTTGGCTGTTGGTGGGAGGCCTAGTTTCTCTCCATGTGGGCCTTACTTACCACAGTGTTTCTTTCTTCGTATATGTGTATGTATTCTTTTTAAAAATTGAAGTATATTTGATTTTCAGTGTTTCAGGTGTACAGCAAGGTGATTCAGTTATACACATATATATATATATTCACATCTATCAATATTCTTTTTCAGATTCTGTTCCATTGTAGGTTATTATAAGATACTGAGTATAGTTTCCTGTGCTATACAGTAAGTCCTTGTTGTTTATCTACTTTATTGTGAGATAATTTGAGCCAAGAGCTTTAAGCTTCTTAGAAGAGAGTTTCTGTAGCATGTCAACATCTTATTGTCATTCAGCATTTAATGGGAGTTTCTCTGAAGAAAGCAAGACTGGAGAGTGAACTACATTCTGGTTCTGCATGCTGGCTTTGCTTTCTGCTTTATAAAAAAGAACTGATGAGAGCAGCCTAACTGTTCTAGGCACCAGTTGTCTGGTGATTGGTTGGACACTTGGAGACATTTTGCCCTTAGGTGTTAGTTGACATGTGCTGTGTCTTGAAGTATGGTGCTCTGAAAAGTTTCAAAAGCTTTCATTTTTAAGAGCTAGGACAACCCAGCCTCCAGCCTCTCCTACTAGCTACTGTAGTGATCTTTTAACCAACAAAACCTGCAGTATTTTCATTTAATGGCATTACTCTAATTAGGATCTTAGGGTGCTTTGGCTCTGATGACTTTCAAGTCATTTTTGAGATAAAGCTGCTTTATTTTCAGGCTGAATAGCCACATTCTTGCCTTGTCATCCTAAAAATGCTGCATTGTGTCTGCATTTCAGAGCCACTGATTAAAATGACTGAAGACCTATGGTGGCGTGGAATTAGCCTCCTTTGTCTATTATATTGTAAGTTTCTCTGGAAAACAAAGTCCAAGAATTTCTGGTAACCTCTCTGCAACAAATACTTTCTGCAATTACTGTAGGAATTAAAGTCACAAAATCTTCCTTTCTTGAGGGAAAAAGAGTTTGGATATTGTACAAAAATTATGAATCACATTTATAGGCAATCACTGTCTGCATGTTTTTTGAGAAGATGTGAATGTCATTAACCTCTTTTACTTCTTCCTTGGAGAGTGTAAAGAGTCAAAAATCTAAGAAAAACTGTATAAGTTCTAGAGACAAAGAGTAACAGGTGCAGTTGGTGGAGCAGGTGGTGTATAATTCACCTTTGCCTCCTACTCAGAAAGAGGGGGGAAAATAGGTCCCAATTTGGAAACCATGTGAGAAATGTCATTCACTGCTACCTAAAATTGCACATAACTTTTGATTTTTTCTTTACCTTTCTGGCTGTGGCTGGGAGTATGTTTGGTTCCATCTGGAACCGAGTAGGTTCTGAATGTCCATCAAATGTCTTTCGGGGTATGTGCCATGACTAATTTTATTTTTTCAAGCTCTTAGACATTTTTTAGCTTATCATATTTCCCTATTGGGGTATTGCCACTTTCTTCCACAACTATCACAGTAACAGGCTTATTAAAAGGATTCTCTCCTCCCTAATCTTCTGTTACCTACTTTCTCTTTCTTTTTCAGTAGCTACATATTCTCTCAAATATATTATTTCATCAAGACTTTTAACTAATCAAACCCTGAGCCACCTCACCAATATGTGAGGCATGTAGAACAGATATGATTATTCCCATTTTACATATGAGGCACCTGAGAATCAAAAATGTATATCATCTGTTGCCCGACTAGTAAATAGTAAAACTATACCAGGACTATCACTTTTTTTTTTCATATTCTTTCAAACACTGCACTCCAGGGTGCTGCTTTGTAGTGCTGGGTTGATCTGGATATGTGCCCGTGTATTTTCCTGTTTTGTACTCCCATCTCTCCTTCATCATTGCACCCATAGGAGTGACCAGATGGGTGAAGGGAAGTGCAAGCACTGACGGTGGCCCCAGGCAACCAACCCATATCTCTCTACTGGCATTGACAGCCTCAGATGTGGTATGTAGAAGGGAAGAAACTCAGAACTACATTCCATACAACATGATTAGCCTCTTGGCCAGATTCTTGCTTTGGTTCCTTATAATAGGCATTACCTTAGACTTGAGGGGAAAATACTCTGTAGCATAATGTTCCAGTTTAAATATTCTGTTACATCATGGTTTAATTGTAGTGTAGGTCAAATGATTGCCCATTGAATAAAAAGTGACCATCTGTTCACCAATGATGGTGCACAGCCAGACTATTCCCCCCTCCTCTCCAGAATTCTCTGCAGTTAGGTATGGCCATATGACTGAGTTTTGGCTAATGATATGTGGATGTAAGTGATACATTTCACTTCCATGCATGTCCTATAAAATCCTCCTGTGCGAGCCCGTACTTTCTCTCTTCTTCCGTCACCTGTTTGGATTCTGGCAATCTGAGTGACATTGGAAGCCAAGGATTGAAGATGATACAGCCTCAGGAAGTCCGAGTCCCTGAATGAAATAGTGGTCTTCCCTGTCTTGTTGGCCAGTTGGACTTCGGTGAGCAAGAAATAAACTTCTTACTTAAGCCACTGAGATTTTAGAGTTTAATCTGTTAAAGTAGCTAGTGTTTCATCATTTACTCATGTATATAATAATTTAATGTATCAATTTTCAACTCTAATATGAAAACCTATATTCCAGCTACTCTTTAGACAACATGTAAACTGTCTGCATCCAGGTTAACACAATAAATGCTGGATCCTTCTACCAATATTAGCATTGTGGTAAGGTTTCATTTATTTATAGGTTCTTCTATATGCATTTATAACAAGATTTGAAGAAATTAAGCATTAGTTCAGTACTTTTTCCTCCACATTTTAAAGTACTGTCAAAGGTCGTTTAACTTTATCTTGGTTATTATTTCACAGTTGAAGAGACCCAACCCACCTTGAGCATTTTTGGTCGATAGAGTGCCATGGGAGTCTGTCCATGGTCCTGAAATGTTTAGCATTTTCATGAAGTTTTAGATTTGCAACCTTCTTCAAATCTTTCCACCATTAGTGTGTACAGTATTTCTTCTGATAGTATGTATCCATTAGATAGTTATTTTTTCTTCTTAAACAACTAGGCTTTCCTTTTATTTCCACTTGCCAAAAGTTTCTATTCATGATTTTCTATTCTGATTCATGACGTTACCAAAAGAGCTCCTTGCTGCAATTTCCCTTCCCAACAACGTGAGTCTTTATGACTTCTTCCAGTCAGGAGGCATCTCTCCAATTTATTACATCTTTTACTCATTCACTTGAAGTTAGAGTCTATGCAACTTGAAACTTTTGGTATTGAAAAATTTCCCCAATGCACATGGGAGGATGTTCTTCTAGCCCTAATCATGCACACCAGATTAAATATGGGACTGCTCCTTGAGGAGCTCCTAAAGGGCTTACATTTTTAAATCCAAGGCTTATCAGGTTTATCATAACACAATTAAAAAGTAATTTTGATATCAACCAAGTTTAAAAACATAAAGTGGTTTATCTAGGCTTCTGATTTAAATATCTTTATTAGAGTGTAAGTAGTAACAGTGTAGACCCTGGAGTTATAACTGTCTCCAAATTCCAGCTTCACTATTTACTGTATGACCCAGAGCAAGTTACTTAACTTTTCTAGACCTCAGTTCTATTATCTCTAAAATGGAGATTTTATTTTTAATCTACCTTATAGAGTTATTGTAAGGGTTGAATGAGGTTATACAAGTAAAGATCTGAGAACAGTTCTTGGCAATAGTAAGACTTGCTGTTATCATATTTAAGACTTGCAAGAAAATAGAATAGATTGAACAGGATAATTTATGTGTAGGTCTCTGTATTAGATAATTGCCAAAATGATCTCTGCTGTCAAAAGTGCCTTATGGGCAAGCACATATCTGAAAGTCTCCAGTTTTTAATTTCTTTTGGGCTTCACCTTCACCTTACAGATGACGTTTGCTCTTTTAACCCATCTTTGGTCCCCATACTGGTCATCTTTATTTACAAAAATCAAACCAAAACCAAAACCAAAAATCTGTTAAAAAAAAAACCAAACCAAAACTCTTCAACTTTGCTAAAGCCAGCTTGACCATATAACACCACCCACAGCAGAATTGGAACTAGGGACAGCTGTGAAATTTGTCTTTGAATACCTTTGTGTCCCCTTTTGAAATCTTTTCCTCCCATGAGAGAATCCCATGTTTATCAATTGAAACATTTATCTACCTTCCTTCCTATCATAACTCTTCATCTGAAGAGATAGTCTGAAACAGTTCTTTACTATTAATTGTAAATGACCAAAAAAAAGCTCAATACCTGGTCGTTCCCAAAGGAACTTGCTACAGATATGGAGACTAAGAAAAAGGAATATATTTCTAATGTGAAATTTTAGCAATTAGGTGGGATGAGTGTTTTGTGGTCATACATTTTTTCTAACATTCTTACAAATAGTTGCCCTTTTTCACTTTCTTATGTGTCTTGCTCTGACTAAGGGTTTACACATTACTTGACAATTCTGAATTGAATTCTCAACTTGCTCAATGGACTTAAATGTGGCTACCAATTTATTGTTAAAGGACTGTAAGCTGAGTCCTTCAAAGAGGAATGCAGATCAGGATAGAGCTCCCACACTCACTAATGTTCCAGTCTCTTTATTGGGGACAGAAAGCTTGATTTGCCCTGTTGTAGATCGATTGAAAATCACTATTTCATATGTATTAACTGGTATTAATGGGTTATTGTCTTTAATCACAGCTATTGGTGACTTTTAGTTGAAAGATCACTGTGCTAGGTTGAGTCAAGGCACAGACTCCTACTTCTAGCTCTGCTATTTACCTGTGGTCACTAGCCTCTTTGTTTTATAGCTTCTGTCTGTAAAATGAAAATAGTGTCTCTTAATTCAGGCTGTAACCAGAATCACCTGGGCAGCTTAAAAATATGCAGATTCTCAGACCCTAACTCTATATAAATTCTAATTTAGTATGTGTGAGTGGGCTATGTGGTCCATAATAAGACTGGATTGGGAATTACTGGGTGGGTCTATTTTTAAGGTTCTTTAGATCTTTTGATTGGTCACTTTTTCTCTGAAAATTCTTACTCTGCACTCTGTATAGGTGCACTTACACCTTTTTCTTGTAAAGTGTGAGAGATGCTAGCATTTTCAATAGATAGCAAGCTGGATTTTGTGGACAGCGCAGGAAAACTGGTCAGCCTCCCAGATAGTCCTGATTCAATCTGGCTCCCCAGTCATTACGTGGTTGTGTTATTTTAGTTGACATAAATTTACAGAAGTTCCCAAACACCTATATTCTAGCATAAATACACAAAAGCATACTCACTTAATAGAAATTATTTTTAGAAATTCACTCTAAAGTTCTTTTGTAGATATAAATCAAGGTTGACTGTATTTGTGTGCATGTGTATATATGTCTAGTGCATGACGAGAGGTTGATCTTCTTGTGTGACTCATAAACTTATTCTAAAAATTATTTCAAAAGAAGCATACCAAAAGTGTTTTGAGCAGTGGAATAGTTATATTGACCTCAAAGGTAAAGCATTAAATGACTCTACAATTAACTGAATGTATACATTTTGTATTTGCTTAAACAAACAGATGCTATTAAATAGTCCGGCTGCTTTTTAAGTAGACAGATTCTGACTTAAGTGCCCTTGAAACACTTACTCCACTCCATGGATCTTTGAAAGGGAGAAAAAAATTGATTTCCATAAGCTTGATTTGAGTACTTTTCTAAGTTGAAACAATCGTTTGAGATACATTCTTTGGAACATTAGATAAGTCACCCATTTCTAAGTCTATAACCTGGAAATCTGGAAAAAAATTTTTTTGGCTCTTTTGAACCTAATTTGGGTTTGGCAAAAGTTACTCCAAATCTGTTGCCTGTTGTCTAACTCTTGATTAATTAATTAATGAACTACAATAAAATGTTT